GTAAAACAAACTTTGGGTATCTGGGTGTTAAAACTATCGATTTAGATTTTCTGCTGAACCGATTTCGTGTTCAATGTTACACTTCTAGAAGGAGTTCTACTGCCAAAACATCTCGGTCTCGTAAATTAAATACTGAACCGGTGATGGAACAAGACAAAGATGAGTTCTTTGTTGTGCGGAAAGGGGATGTTGTTGGTGTTTACAAGAGCTTGGCTGAATGTCAGGCCCAAGTTGGATCTTCTGTAATTCTCTTTTCATCCTTATTCACTTTCACTTCTTCAAGTTATGTCATCTGTGAATTCTTTTTAATTGATCCCTTTCTGCGTTTGTATTTTAAATTGGATAAGTAATTTATAGAATTACTTTTAGGACTTTGTGATATGTAGATGCAATGTGATCTTGTTTCTTGATTTTCTATGTAATGAACAATAATTGATTGCGGTTTTTGTTGTAGGTATGTCATCCTCCCGTCAGTGTGTACAAAGGGTACTCTTTGCCAAAGGACACTGAAGAGTACCTTGTCTCCCATGGGCTTAAGAATGCTCTTTACACTATCAGAGCTGCAGATTTGACTGAGGGTCTTTTTGGTTCACTTACTCCATGTCCTTTTCAAGTAAGATGACTAATGAACTCTGAGGTGAAATTTAGAGTCGTTTAATTATTTGTCTGGTTCATGTTTTGCACCAAACAATTATCTTTTCTATTTTATGAGAAATCCTTTAATAATCTCTGTTGCATTTGTGGCCTGAGCTGCTCTACTTTGGGTCCATGATTAAAAGTTTAATTTGCTCAATTTTTAGTGACCTGGTTTGATCATTTTGAGATGTTGGATGGGGCATCATACTATTTGAACCTTTATTTAATTTCACCATTTTGATTTTTCAATAAGACAATAATTCTTACTCGTATTTTGTTCTTTCAGTTTTGAGTTTCGGCTGTATGTTGATCTGAACTTCATTGTATCATCTTTGGTTATAGCTATCCTTCTTGTTGTTCTATCCATCCAAACAAGACTGCAAGCCTCAATATTTGCATGTGCTTGCTGTCTAGCTAGCATTATGAAAAGAATATTGGCACTAGTGACATAAAATTGTTTTATTTCTTTTCCAGGAACCTGCATCCGAAAAGAGGTCTCATGATAAGATTGAGGTAAGCTAGGATACATTGTATTCTGAACAGTAGCATCAAGGTTCAAGAGTAACACAAAATGGTGGTACATTTTTAAAAACGATGTTCAGTAATTGTTTTGGTTGCGTCTTTGTTATCACCAATTTAAAACAAAAAACAAAGAATTTGTTTTCATTGCTTCCCATGCATATGTTTCTCTTTATGTCTCTGCCCTGTAGAACGCTTTATATTTTTATACTCCATTAGTCACCAAGAAGTCCAATGAGAGAGTGAGATTCAGTTTTCTTGCTCTTGTAACTTGAACCTTTGCTATATGTAAATTTTTTTCCTAGCTAAGTTCTAATTTAAAATTCAATATCTCATTTTTATTGCAATATGGTCATTTTATCATGAGAGATGCTAATTTTAATGTAATAAAAGAGAATAAGCTCTAAAATGAATACATGCTTCTAAACAGTATGTCAAAAGGAGGGAATGTAACCATAAAGAAAGAACAAATAAAAAATAAGGTAACTATGGAAATTGCATGAAATGTTCTTTTGTAATAACCACAGTTAATAACTGCAGTGCTTCTTAGTGATGAGGAGTTCTCTGCCAACCTGATTAACTTCATGACAAAAATTTTGGAAAAAATCATAGGTAAATTGACCGCTGGGTAAGTGGCAGATTGCTTATAAGATTAATTGAATACATTCAGTTCTTCTTTCCCCCACTTAAATCGTTAATTTGGATGTGAATCTTGTGCTAAGTTGCTCATGTTGTTTGATGTATACTATTTGATAATATTGTTGGTTTGCACATAATGTTTCGTGGATTGATTAGTACAAGCTCATTGTTTTCAAGTTTTGAGATGGTCACTTTATGCAAAATGCTAAAACATAGGACCATATCTGAAAGTACCCCTCTCAGGATCCTGCTTCAGCAGGAGCAGTAGTAAGCTACCGTTTCATGCTTTGCAGGATATGTGAACTTTAGTTTCTCTATATTTTATTTATATAATTTGTAATTCTCTGCAGGAAACACCTGGTTCAACATCCATTTTAACTGATCCCTTGAAAAAGCATGTCAAGTTGGACCATGATGTTGAGACCCAAGCAGCACCCTCTGATTCTGTATGTAATCTTCGAATTCATAGTAAAGAAAAAAGTAAACATGTGCTGGGGTGACCTTATTGCAACCCCATCTGTGGATGCAACTGTGCTCTCCCAAATACTTGTGCAGGTCTTACCATCCCCATGGTATGGAGCAGATACAGCAAAAACTTGGAATATCAGGAAAATCCTTTCCTATTTTATTCCGAGTTAATGGTTGAATTTTGTTGGCACCTTACTGGAGGACTTTTCTCCCCAGTATTTTATCTAAGATTTTGTAGTTGACGTTAAAAAAATCTTGATTGTTATTTTGGGTTTTGATGACAGATATTGTTTTATCATAATGCCTTTGAATATGGATGGCACTGAAACAAAATACGATCCATGTAACATGTATTTGTGTGCAGCGCTCTTGTATTATTGAATTTGATGGGGCATCAAAGGGCAATCCTGGACCAGCTGGTGCCGCAGCTGTGCTGCGAACCAATGATGGAAGTTTGGTAAACATTTTACTATCCTGGATACGTTATTTTGTTTTATACCTTTTTATCTTTTTTTTTTTTTTTCCCAGGAAACAAAAATAATTGTATCCAAACTAAAGAAGATGCAAAAAATGGACAAGCTAACCACAAAAAGTAGGTGTAGCTCTCCCTATGGACCTGAGATAGGTCAGTCACATACAAAAAGTATTAAATCAAACAAAAACCTACTAGAGACCCCAATCAAAATAACGAAAGCCAACTAGCTATAATATTGAAGCTTCCCAATTATGATGAATGAAGAAAAAAGATACTTCCTTAAACTCTGAGGAGACAGAAGCCCAAAACTTATATAGCTTTTATCTGTCTAATTCCCTTTTTTGAACAGATCTGTAAATTGCGTGAAGGTATGGGCATTGCAACTAATAATGTTGCTGAATATCGAGCCTTAATTTTGGGGTTGAAGTACGCTCTTCGAAAAGGTTATACAAACATACAAGTCCGAGGAGACTCCAAACTTGTCTGTATGCAGGTTTGCTGCTGTTTATGCTTTCTTTTATATGTTCGATGTTTTGTTTTATTTGGACTGTATGCATTAGATTAATAGTTACGAGATTTACCCTCATCTCTGATTATTATCCTTTTTTGGTCTTTTCTTTCTTCTAAATTTCGTTATGCGGCTTGCTTCTTCTTGGTGCAGGTTTTGGGTTCGTGGAAGGCCAAAAACTCGAACATGTCTGATCTATGTACGGAGGCAAAGAAACTGAAGGATGGATTTCTTTCATTCCAGATGACTCATGTTCTAAGGGTGAGTGTGGTCTATTCTGCTTCTTGTTTGTGTTCAATCTTACTTGTGCATTTGTTTAATTTTGCATTGTTCAAGTTCAAACTAATGTGTACTAATCTCATCATGTATAGACAGCAGAAACAGAGTTTTGAACTTATGATTGCCACTTACCCTTCAATGTAATTATTAAGGATAGGAAAGGCATAATCCATCAGATATCTTTAACTCTTGTGTACATTGAATGCTTGCAGCATATCTACCAGGTGTAGCATAGCATGATTTCTAGCCATCAACTCAGTAATTGTATACCTGAAGCCTTCAATTAATTAATGGTTCCCCTAAATGTGAACCAATCCTTGATGGTCGACAGGTTATTACTAATATGGCTAGTTATTAGTTTAATGTGACATTATTGGCTCAGCTCAGGTGCTTTTTGTATCAGTTAGGCTTGTATTAATCAAAAGTCCCAACTGCCGGGGTACCCTGTCTCCCTAAAGCTATTCCTGTGTTATATCTTTTCTTGTAACTGCTGTCCAATTATTTTCTCTTCCTTTTGTGTTTCTTAAGCTTAAATTTTATCATAGTTTATCCTTATGAATGGTGCATTCATTTTAAGGAGTATACATTAATTTACTCAGTTCATGCATAATATTCCTGCCTTTTTTCCCCTTTTCTTTTTTTTTTAAAACAAGATTATAAGATTTTCTTATTCATTTTAAAGGACCTGAACTCCGAGGCTGATGCTCAAGCAAACTTGGCCGTTCATCTTGGTGGTGAGGCCCGCATGATTTATTTAAACTTTCTGCAGTTAGCTCGATTCAGTAAATTCATTGATCCTTATTCAGTTGTGTGCTGTTGCAGATGGTCAAGTTACAGAGAATTTTGAATAATAGTTCAAATGATGGACTGTTGGGAGTGATTAAGGTTTTTCTTTTTAGCCAAAATAAATGTATAATTAGCTCCAAGATTTACATATTGCTCTTTGGGCTAAAATTTTGTTCTTTTATTAGGTGACCTGACATTAATGAAAAATTAAACCAGAAGGTGTCCGTCCTCGCTACTGGCGGCGATCCTGATATAGTGAATATGGTATTCATAAGAATCGTTCAACCATCTTTTGATTTTGGAGGAAGATTCTAAAATTGAGGCCTTGGCTTGCACCAATCCCTACCATAATTTGCAAACTGAATTGATTATTAACTCAACCCAGAACTGGATTCAGCTGCTTGGGGAAGAGGAAAGAACAAAACTTTGTAATTTTACTTTTGACATTCTTAATATTAATATTAGTTGCATTCCTTCTTACTTACCACCACAACTGCTATTGCAGGCATGTAATACTGAATTGATTGTTGATCATAATTTGTGTGGCATTATAGAGTTTTGATTCATAATTATTTATTTCCATTTTTTACCTCAAACGATTCTTAACCACAGGGTTTAACGAGTTAATCATGTTTTGATACTAAAAGAATGTAAACCGTCGGTTTAAGGTAAATTTCATATCAGACGGTTAACAATTCTCTAAATAAAACAAGCCCTTAATTTGACTCTTTTTTATCGGTATCCCTCTAAACGGGAACCGACTTGGGCACCACGAAAGGTACGGAAACGACACACTCCTTTCATTTCAGTATGTGCAGCTCAAGAACATAATGACTTGAATCGCTGGAGTTTTGAGCAAAAATGTTATTCAGACACTCTCAAAAATTGACTAAACATTCTTCTTCTCTTTTGAGAAATCATATTCATGGCTTGTTTTACTCAGCTTTTTCCTTTGCATCATCACCAACCCACGTCGTTTCTGGAGCGCCCGCTGATGTTGCCGACGTTACTGGGGCTGCTGATCTCGTCTTCACTACACCAGGTTCTTCCACTGTGAAGCCGCTGACTGACCCCACTCTTCTGCAGCCACGTGTCGTCATCTATGATGGCGTTTGCCATCTTTGCCACGGAGGTCTTTTTTGGTTTTTTTTTTTTTCCTTCTTCTTTTGATCCAAATGATAACTAGTAATCATCATTGCTAGTTATGACTTGCTCTTCTTTTGGGTTTTTGTTATGTAGCCAATAATCGCTGTTATTTTGTTGAGTTTCTATCTGTTTCATATTCAGTTTTGGGTTTATCTGTTATGTGTAGTTTCATTTGTGTTAAACTTGTTTTGTTTTTTTTTGTTTTTTTTTTCTATATTTCTCTTCGCATTGTTATCTTATTTGATACGAACAAACTTTGAGTGTTTACCATGTAATCGCTGCAAGTGAATGCTGAGGTCCTTTGAGCTCCTAGTCCTAGAGGATTAGTATTCTATTTTCACGTAGTCGGCGTAATTTCTTTTGCTTTAATGGAGAAAAAATCTAGAAAAACAATGAGCTAATGATGTTTTACTTTCAAGTATAGCCTGGTTTAGTGATTTGCTAATACTGGTAATGCTCGGAATCTTTCTCTTGAGGATTAATAAATATAGTTTTCAACAATACACTTATAAATCTTTTATGTTAGTTATCATAATCATATAATCATAATCGCTAGAGCAACCATCTGGACGGTATTTCCCCGATTTTCAAGTGGGACCCGATTTTTTCCTTTTGGCTTTCAATCACATTCCTTTTTCCATATTTTTATTTGGGTAATCACCATATATAACAATTTAATTTTGTTCGAACTTTTTTTTTTTTTTCCATTTTTAAAAAATGCTCTCATGCTTCTCTTCTTTATGTTAGCTTCTCAATTACTTCTTTGCTGTTGTCTAAATCTTTGGCGTTGTTGTCTATATTCTTGAAGTGCAGCTCTAGGGTTTTCTACATTATACTGCAGTATAAGATTGGTATCCTAATTCTCTCACACTATTGTACTTTTACAGGGGTGAAGTGGGTGATTGGAGTTGACAAGTATAGGAAGATCAAATTCTGTTGTCTCCAATCCAAAACTGCTGAACCATACTTGGCACTGTGTGGTCTTGATAGAGAAGATGTTCGCCGTCGCTTTGTGTTTGTTGAAGGCCTAGGTTTATACCACCAAGCATCTACTGGTATCTTCTCTCAAACAGGATGTTTATTTGTTTACCATTTATGGCTTTGTTTTTCTGCGTGATATTCTGTTTATGTTAGGAAATGGTGTCAAGTTGGTATCGTGTTTTAATTAGTTCTCTGCATCTTTTTCTCAGTGTCTTATACAGATTGCCAACATAGACAAAACCTAATTCCAACCATCTAAGCCTAATACACCATCAAGTCATTCTGTTTTATCATTAATCACAATTTTAACAAAGTATTGCTCCTCATTGCTTAGTGGTGTAATCTTGTGTGATAAAGTTCAGGGCAAAGGAATTCTAATCAAAACTGTGATGATTCTCAATTTGGTAGTTCATGGGGTTCTGGGATGAGGAAGAAAGAAAATTACTTATATGGAGGATGTCTTCTGATAATCTTTTTCTTGCTTTTATCTTGTACAACACATGTTTGCTTGAGAGGCATGCAATAGGTGACCAGAGTTTGTCATTGATCCTCTCTGCTCCGCGTTTTCTTGGTTATTGGCATGATCTTTTGAGGAAATTATGAGGATGGATGACATATATATAATTGGACCCTGTAATCACTTTATCTTTCAAGGTTAGTCAACTGAAATGTCATCTTTTTCTTGGACTTGTTGCCATTAGATTGTCAGAAAAAGATTTTATTTTATTTTTTATGTGGCTCCAGTTCATCTACTTAAAACTTGATAGTTAAAATAAGCAGCATGATGCTGCACTTGCTTTCTTGAAATTCTTCATGGAGAATACATCTTTGTGTGACCCTAATACTGGTGGTGGGCATATTTTAGGAAGATGTAATTTTATATGTTTATTCACACTGTTATGGGAAAATGATTGAAAATTTTGTCAAAACGCATAGAGCAGCTGTTTTTCCCCGTTTTCCTGGAGGTGCAACATCACAAATATAAATTTATTTACTTATATTTTTGTATGATTCTGCAGCTGCGCTGAAAGTGCTGTCGTACCTCCCATTGCCTTACACGGCCTTAAGTGCCTTTTTAATAATTCCAAGGCCCCTTAGAGACGCTGTGTATGATTATGTTGCCAAGCGACGCTATAACTGGTTTGGGAAGAGTGAAGATTGCTTAGTATTGCAGGAAAAAGAGTTGCTAGAGCGTTTCATTGACAGAGATGAGATGATGGATCAAAATTGATCAGATTTGTGATATACTCTGCTGATGCAATCAGCTCTTTTTTGTTAACATTGTCTTGGTTTGACATAACTGAAAGGATATTAGGATGTAGCATTGTAAATTCATAATATTGTAGAGGTGATACCCAGAAAGTTGAGAGAACGAGGGCTATATAGAGGTATGCCTAATTGATTCAATGTAGTTCCTGGTATGCTAAGTTAATTGATCATTACATTTACTCAAATGACTCGATGTTGATTTAAGATATTGCTCAGTAGAGTGATTATAACATTTACTCAACGACTCTTTTTTGGCTGAGCCGTATCTTGCTGGGCTGATGTTGATTCAATATATTGCCACTTTGCCAGTCTGGTATGTGTAGTAAAAACTTAAAAGGAAAGACGAGTCTTACACTTTGGAATTTATGTTTTCCATACCTGTGTTTTTGCAAGAAAAAAATAATTTTTACTTTGGATCACATTTAAGACATTTTTCTTCTTTGTACATATATTATTAATGAGATAATTACATTTTAGAGTTCCTCAAAAATATTAAAGTTACATACAAGATCGCAAATGTAATCAAATTTCATTTAATTACCATTATAAAGTTCCGACTAATATTAGCTAACTACAGATATAGTGTAGGCATCTAAATTAACATTCAACTAACAATGTAGGGGCTTCCCAGTCAGGGAAAACCCTCTAAAAATTGGCGTATGCCGCTATCTGCGGCGAGCACACGGTATTCTTTAGTAAAAGGCGAAAGAATAGTTCGCTTTGTGCTCACCGCGCGGCTGCGTGACTTATGCTATAGCCTAAGCTTTGTTTTATAATATCTATTCGAGTGCTAGTTTTATCTGTCGGCGATGTGGGATTGATGCATNTTTGTCATTGATCCTCTCTGCTCCGCGTTTTCTTGGTTATTGGCATGATCTTTTGAGGAAATTATGAGGATGGATGACATATATATAATTGGACCCTGTAATCACTTTATCTTTCAAGGTTAGTCAACTGAAATGTCATCTTTTTCTTGGACTTGTTGCCATTAGATTGTCAGAAAAAGATTTTATTTTTATTTTTTATGTGGCTCCAGTTCATCTACTTAAAACTTGATAGTTAAAATAAGCAGCATGATGCTGCACTTGCTTTCTTGAAATTCTTCATGGAGAATACATCTTTGTGTGACCCTAATACTGGTGGTGGGCATATTTTAGGAAGATGTAATTTTATATATTTATTCACACTGTTATGGGAAAATGATTGAAAATTTTGTCAAAACGCATAGAGCAGCTGTTTTTCCCCGTTTTCCTGGAGGTGCAACATCACAAATATAAATTTATTTACTTATATTTTTGTATGATTCTGCAGCTGCGCTGAAAGTGCTGTCGTACCTCCCATTGCCTTACACGGCCTTAAGTGCCTTTTTAATAATTCCAAGGCCCCTTAGAGACGCTGTGTATGATTATGTTGCCAAGCGACGCTATAACTGGTTTGGGAAGAGTGAAGATTGCTTAGTATTGCAGGAAAAAGAGTTGCTAGAGCGTTTCATTGACAGAGATGAGATGATGGATCAAAATTGATCAGATTTGTGATATACTCTGCTGATGCAATCAGCTCTTTTTTGTTAACATTGTCTTGGTTTGACATAACTGAAAGGATATTAGGATGTAGCATTGTAAATTCATAATATTGTAGAGGTGATACCCAGAAAGTTGAGAGAACGAGGGCTATATAGAGGTATGCCTAATTGATTCAATGTAGTTCCTGGTATGCTAAGTTAATTGATCATTACATTTACTCAAATGACTCGATGTTGATTTAAGATATTGCTCAGTAGAGTGATTATAACATTTACTCAACGACTCTTTTTTGGCTGAGCCGTATCTTGCTGGGCTGATGTTGATTCAATATATTGCCACTTTGCCAGTCTGGTATGTGTAGTAAAAACTTAAAAGGAAAGACGAGTCTTACACTTTGGAATTTATGTTTTCCATACCTGTGTTTTTGCAAGAAAAAAATAATTTTTACCTTGGATTACATTTAAGACATTTTTGTTCTTTGTACATATATTATTAATGAGATAATTAAATTTTAGAGTTTCTTGAAATTATTAAGAGTTTCATATCGCAAAAATAATCAAATTATTTTTAATTACATTATCAAGTTCTTCCTACCATTAGCTATCTACAAAATAGCGCGAGCAGCTAGATTAACATTCAACTAACAATGTAGGGGCTTCCCAGTCAGGGAAAACCCTCCAAAAATTGGCGTATGCCGCTGTCTGCGGCGAGAACACGGTATTCTTTAGTAAAAGGCGAAAGAATAGTTCGCTTTGTGCTCACCGCGCGGCTGCGTGAGTTAAGGAATCGCCTAAGCTTTATTTTATAATAGCTATTCGAGTGCTAGTTTTATCTGTCGGCGATGTGGGATTGATGCATGGGTTTTGCGGGCCTATCTCCAGCTGATATGGCTCCAGTATTTGGTTGTTCCCTTTGCTTGTCTGGGCCGATCCATAAAGGATTGCTTGTAACTCAATGGTTGACACACTTTTCTTGGTTTAATGGACCACCTTTTGTCCAGTTGAGTAGTAAACTCCTCCATTTTCATAATAATTTGCCATCTAGAACTTTCAAGTGTCAACATTAATTTTTGATGGGTGACAAGAAAAGCCCATTCAATTTTTTAATCAAAGTTCGTCCAACAAAATAGAATTAAACTTACCTTTATCTTTCATTTATCTGTTTCAACCAATTTCTGAGGCGAAGTTTTCTTTTCTTTTCTTTACTTTTTTCAACAAACGGAACCATATCAGTCCACCCCCAAATAAACGAAAGAATTTGAGGAGTGTATTTTGCCCATGTAAAAATAAAGCAAGCGGTTTGTTCTAATAAGAAATTGAGGTTTTTGAATCATACATTGGTTTGGTAATAACTGGTAAAACTGTAAATGAAACTTAGCAAAAAAAAACCAAATCTGTAAATGAAACTCTGACCATTGGAGAGGCATAACTGTATTTTCCTTGCATCTAGTGTAAAAGAACAGAATGATTGACAATTCAGAAGGACAGTATGACCCAAAGAATGACAGAATACAGCCATTGAATAGCTTCTTTTGATTGAAGAACTTACACATGATTATCATACAGTTCTATTACCCCTTGTAAACTTACTGTTATAGCAAAAACAGACTTTTACTTCATATTTTCCTTCTCATCCTCACAAATTACAATGACTCTTCAGTTCTACAGGAATGCAAAATGAGCTCTCATAACCTACATAAATAATGCTAGAAAATTTCTTGAACAAAAAACTATGGCAGGTTTTATTCTATTAGCTATCACCAGTCCATTCCTTCCAGTCCTTGTCGACATGATTCTGAGCCCATTTAACAGCTGCACGTGCTGCTTGTGGTCCCCCAGGCAACCCTTGTTCATTTAGAGTATCAGCCATGTCAATGAATGGAATGACCAAGAGTGTTCCAGGACCGCCATACTCTGTGTGTAAGAAAGTGTTGAATATCTATAGAGAATTATCAAAGGCAAGTTAGGCAACATAGTCAAACATCTGTTAACTTGTCCACACAACAATGAAATCAAGAAAACATCAGTAATGGAGGCATCTTATTGAGAGATTAATCTATTTCAGTAAACAAAGGATAACTATTTCAACAGAGAATCTAGAAGTCCTTGTATAAATAGAAGTAGCAGCTTGGCAAATGCAATTTTTTGAAACTCTGAAAAATCTCCTATTCTCCAATTATCATACAAAGACAAAACTTTATGAGTCCTACATGAAAGTATTATAGAAAACTATTCAGAATTTACTACTATTCTCATTGTCTTTTGAAAGAACACTTGTTAGTTCTCAACAGTACTTCAATGATTTCAATCACACCAACCTTGTTGTCGGGTGTCCTCATGGCAGGCTATGGTGAGGTGCTTCTAAAGCAGTTCCAGCCCTTTAATTATTCACAGAGTCATGAAAATAATTCCTCTTATTATTGTTCTTCTTTCCTTTTTGTTTGAAAATACCATACATGTAGACTGCATAGTATCAGAACTACCTAAGGTGATCTCTCTATCTTCCCCTATAGTAATTAAGATCTCCATGCAGTTGAGTGTCTCCTATGACAATTCCCAAACATACATGTAAAAGTAATTTGTTATTAGAATCATGTGTTGCACAATAATCATTTAAGACAGCTAAATAAGCAAACGAATAACACTTTACAAGATAAAATGAATTGTACAAACACTCATCTAGACAACTTTCAAGCTCTACAGTAGTGAGCTAAAGCTTTTACAATTAAAAGTGAAATTTAATGAGGCATCGAAGTATTTCAATTTTCCTACACCTAAACTGTCCATTTGACAAACACAATGCCTGATGCATCAGATATGCAACATATTCCATTCACATATGCACCAAACTTAAGAGAACAAATTACGCATTACAAAAAAAACGATAAGCCCTAAGCAAACATTTAGTTAACCAACAGTTATCTATTTATAGATAAATTAAAATCCTATACAAGCATCACATTAAATAAAATAGAAGAAGACGTCACCTCAGTGCAGATTCCTACGACTTCTTCAAGTGAATCTCCAAACATATCTTTCTTGGCAAGCTTATTGAGCAGATGGGTCTTAAACTTGTCAGTTTCCTAAACCCAAAAATATATTAGTTCACCAAGCAAGAAACATTTAAAAGAAAGAATTGGAATCAAGGAACTTACAGCATCAGCAAATTCGGGAATTGGGTCGGGAAATTTGTACTCGGCAGCTCTGCAAATGTGTTTTTTGAAAGAGAAAGAGAGGCAAAAAGGTGTCGGTTGTGTTTTGGAAATTGAAGGGTAAGTAAAGGGGGCAGTGACTTTGATGCCACCAAGCGAAAAAGAAGAATTTAAAAAGTGACGAGGACGAGAAGAAAAGAGAGAAGATGGATTAAGTGCTGAAGAGAGGAGAGCTTTGCTCCAAGAAGCCATTTCTGTCTCTGCTCTCTCGTGCTCACCTTATCCGGAGCCTGGCAGGAGGGTTTTAGGCTATTTTAAAACCCCGGCTCTTGGTTTTACTTCGTAGAGGATGTTACGGTGGTAAAATCTCGTTGTCAAATTCAATTTATTAAATTAATCTTATTAGAATATATAATATATTACCGAATTTCGGTAATCAAATATCTACTTTTATGATAATTTATTATTTTATTGGTTCAAATGACAGCGTTTCAGTCATTAAAAACGATGTTCTTCTGATTTCCCTTGAGATGACGACCATTTAGTTGCAACTTGCAACAGTTAAACGATGTCGTTGCTCTTTCTTATGGTAAATGTCACTTAAATCCATCAAGATTACTATGAAAGGGAACCTTTAAATATTTGCTGAGTCATAAGGGAGTTAACTAATATTCAACTAGACGATATTGTTTCATTATTGAACGATTTGTTAGTAAATGTAAAACAATGTCTTGTGACGTATTGGAAAACCTTCTTTGGATTTGCCTAAGATCTTTGGATTTCATTTATTTCTCTTTGAAGTAGCTTGTTTTAGGTTTGACGCATTTTATGTAACAAGATTGTATGGTCTTGGAATATGGGTGTTCGACCCTTTTGGACTAATTGGACAAGTAAATGCTATAAATCTAGCTTGGGGTGTAGAAAGTTTTGATCATTTTGTTTTAGGAGGAATAGCCTCTCATCATATTGCTGAAAGGACATTGGGCATCTTACCAGACTTATTATCTTAGTGTCTATCCGCCTCAAGCCCTCACCATCTTTACAAAAGATTATGTATGGGCAGTATTGAAAATACCCAAAGCTAGTCCTAGGGAACAATAAAGCTTCATAGGGTTCTTCTATCTAGGTGTAGGTAGTCTGCATCTTCACAAAACATGTCTATTTCACCAAGCTTCTCTCCGAGATAGTGCCCATATCGTTATGCCTTTCGTGCAGGTCGAAACTTACTTGACAAGGAATTTTGCTACCTTAGGACTATTATAGTTATGATTGTCGTTCATCGGGGCTTCCGTCGTCACCTCCCTTGTCATTAGGTCATCAACTTCCTTGACCTTCCGATGTTGGGTAGGCATCAACCAAATAAATGATGTCGTCTGGTTTCCCAAGTAAAATGAGATTGTTTCTGGTTCTCCAAGGTAAATAACAATTAAGTCCATCAAGAATCCTAAAAATAGGGGTTGTATAGATATTTATCGAGCCATAGAGGAGTTAACTAATAGTCATCAAGACAACACCGTGTGGTTGAAAATCCAAACGACGACGTTTTTGTTGCTTTAATGAACAATATCGTTTTGTTTAAAATACGAAATGATGTCGTCGGTTCCCCCTTTAGAACGACGTCATTTAACTTCAAATTAAAATGATGTTTTCTCGTTCTTCATGGGAAATATCATTTAAGTCCATCAAGATTCCTAAGATAAGATATTTATAGATATTTACCGAATCATAAGGGGGTTAATTGACATTCATTTAAACGACGTTGTTTTTGTCAAATATCAATGTGTTGTTCTTCTGATGAATGACGCCGTTTTTGTCAAACATAAAACAAGGTCGTCTTTTTTTCCCAGTAAAACGATATTCTACTTTCCCAACGACATTGTTTTGGTTCTGGCATGATGTTGTTTTGTTTGCCTGCCAGTGGTGTTTTGGGCCCTTTCTGGAAGGATGTCGTTTTCTCTTCTAGACAACTTGTCACTTCTTTTGTAAACAACATGTCGTTTTTTTGTATGAAATACATCATCATTACAAAACTATCAAATGACCCTACTCTAGTTCGATAACTATATAAAATCCCCTATATTTGGGATTCTTGATGGACCTAGGTGATATTTTCCATGAATAATTTAAATCATGAACCGCGTGTCTTTTCATTTATAGTGTTCCAATTTTCTTTCAACCGGGTTATTCTATTCCACCTCTTAGAAAGAAAATAACTTAAATCAAAATACTTAATAGCATGATGATACATTTATACAAAACTTCTACCTCGAGCACACGTAATGGAGCCGTCAACAATCAAATGAAATTCAATTCACGAAATAATTTGATCTATGGACAACATCGTTATGGTAAAAGTCGTAATGTTAGATGAATCATTACTGCAGGACATAGAGGGGGAGGTCATAAGAAGAACTCATCTTTTTTTTTTTTTAATTACATTCCTTGCGTATGTATAAGATCGAATCCATTTGATTTCTAAAAAGGATTACTAATCCTTAACTTTTCATCTTAGTTATTATGTAAGTTTATACTGTATATGAAAATTTTAATCTGGATGAAAATTTTATGAGGATTTGAATGTAAAATTTGGATGTTCACTATTATTAATATTAATTATTGATTAAAAAAAAGTGTGAGATTTGCTAAATAAGGAAAATAGATCTCTCAAAAATGAAAAGAAAATTAGTAAGGAAACAAACTGTTGTTCTCGGGTGCGAGACCCCAAATCCTTTTAAAGTTTCTTCTAGGTTGGTAGCTGAATGTGGCGCTAAACTACAAAGCACTGAAAAAGGATCTTTTCTTTGCATTGTAAGTCAAATGATGTTATTACAGTTTACATGTGACATGGAACTACGTACTGTGATTTGTATGGTGCTTCTCTTTATCATAATTCATATGACGTTATTATTATGTTCTCAATTTTGGACNGATACTGCTGGTTCAAAATTTCAGTGTTATCCTAGGAGTATATGTTTGTTTTTATGAAGTCACTGTATTCTTGGTAGTGCTTTGTTTTAATTCATGGCAATCTTATGCTTAGCTATGATCTGATCTTTGAAAACTTTGGAATTTTCTGCTACGTATATGGGACTAACATGCTCTCTGGTTACTTATAAACTTTGTTTACTTATAAAAATTGTTTTCTTTTCGTCAGTTAAGTATCAAATGGTTATTATAATATAATATAAATCTTTAGCCTGTTGCCCTGTTGGTTGACTTTCTGCATGGAGCCCAGAATTATGATGTTTGGGTTTGGTTGCTAAGAAAGTGAAATTACTCATTTTATGTATTTTTCCTTTTCTAGATTTATGACTTTTCTCTTGAGCTAGTTAGAGTAATGGTTTAAGTTAATGACCAATAACAGGTGTGGTTACATAAGTTGGGAGCAGACCAGTCGAGTGATACTTGCCTTTATCATGAGAAGGACGATATGTATTCTCTTGCTCTTGAAGCTTCAGAGAGCAAGAAATATTTGTTTGTTGGTTCTGAAAGCAAAATTACGAGGTTCGTGTTCTATCTTGATGTTTCCAAGCCCGAAGAACTGAGGGTTTTGACACCTCGTGTAGTAGGCATTGATACATCAGTCAGTCATCGAGGAAATCATTTCTTTATAAGGAGGAGAAGTGATGAATTCTTCAATTCAGAACTACTAGCATGTCCTGTGGATAATACATCTGAAACTACGGTTCTTATTCCACACAGGGAAAGGTAATAATGAATTTAAGAGTTTTTAGCAGATGGAGTTATTTCCAAACGAATCTGTGAGAAAGGAGCTTGTTTTTTCTAACTTTCTTTGTCTTTCAAATTGAAACTTGCTTTTATGTTGTAGGAATATGACAAAACTTCATCTGAATCTGTTTCCTGGTGAAATAACTTGAATGTGTGATCTCAACATATTTTCTCAATTAATTAAGAAAATTTGAAAAAGGAGTTGAATGATGTAGTAAGCATTGCTGTGTGTGCTTTTTGCAAACTTCTAGGTAAAGCAATCCATATTCATTTTTGAAGAAGGCATATGAAGCGTAACATGTTGTTACTTTCCATCTCTCAATATTTGTACAGGGTCACCCTTGCAGTGAAATAATACATTTTTTTTTTTTTTCAGCGTAAAAATTCAGGACATACAACTTTTTGCTGACCATCTTGTTGTGTATGAGCGTGAAGTGGGTTTGCCGAAAATTACCACATATCGTCTTCCTGCTGTTGAAGAGCCACTCATAAGCCTTCAAGGTGGCTCGTCTGTTGAGTTTATTGACCCTATATACTCAATCGACCCATTAGAATCACAATTTTCTTCCAGTATTTTGCGGTTTTGGTATAGCTCATTGAAGACACCTCCCTCTGTATATGATTATGATATGAATACAGGGACTTCTGCTTTGAAGAAGCTTGAAACAGTAAGTTATATGAAGAAAGGCAACCATGAATTTGGTTTTTTAAAATTCTGTGTTTGTTGCACATTTCTTGTGTGGTTGTATTATATGCATAATCATTATATATCAATGAAAATCATACAAATAAAGTTTGCCTGAACGTGTCAAATATTACTAGACTAGTTTTTGAATGTACCATGAGGATACCTGAGAAATAAACTAGAAACTTCATGCTCACACTGCATCTAAGAACTCTGCTTTTTCAATAAAATTTTGACAGACCTCACTTCAGTGTGGGGGATTGATATCAATAATCTGCTCCCTAAGATTTAATCCCGTTTTTGTAATTTCATAAATATGTATTTTGGGGTTATTTTGTGTTTGAATTGTTTAGTAACTGCTTTTCCAAACATTTACAAGAAGTCAATGCTATATAAGAAACTAGTGGAAGTATAGGTGGTCAAAAGTTTGTTTCCTTCTCTCCCTCTCTCTTTCTATCTACACCGTCTATTTATCTTTTATCCTAGTCAGTTTGTACATACATTGAGAAACTAGCAAGGAAATTTCCAATACCTGTACCCAGTATTTGATGTTAATGAAGAATGGGTGTCACTATGGTCTAAGATGAATATTATGTGAATACTAAGTTGGTGGGATGTCTCATGCATTTTTTTTTTCTTTTGGTGGGGTGGGGGGGATAGAGACTATGATATTACATGAAGATAATAAATGATGTGGTTCAAATGTGCATTTGATTTGTACAAAAACCAACATGATTGTAGTGTTATCTGAAATGTTTTACAAAATTAAGAGTCCTGTATCCAAGATAGCTCTTTAAAGATGTGATGCATTTATTAAGTTATATTTGCTGGTGGAAATTGGTAAATAGGTGGATTTATGCATTTCTTTTTTGGTGTTTGAAAGGGTAGATACTTATTAAATTGTCTTCATGCTTCGAGTAATTCTCTGAACATGCATAACTGATCTCTATTTTACCTATTAACTCTGTTTTGTTTCCTACAACTCACATTGAGCACCCTTGTCCACTGTTTTAGGTCTTGGGGGGTTTTGATGCATCAAATTATGTTACTGAAAGGAAGTGGGCCACTGCTTCAGATGGCACCCAGATTCCTTTATCCATTGTTTATCGGAAGAATCTTGTGAAGCTGGATGGTTCGGATCCATTACTACTTTATGGCTATGGCTCATATGAGGTACTATTCAAATCTACATAGTAAATACTTGCTAGTAGAATTAACTGGAATTTTTGTGATGCTGTTTTTTTCAAAAATGTTGTTACATTTGAAATCATGCTGGGTGTAGAGGTGTCTGACTGGGTATCCACAGTAGCCAAAACAACGCAATCCTTAAGAGCCAAAACTATACAACTACATATGATGAATTTGTCTCTATCTAACCATTATAGACGTGAATCAAAAAAGTGTTTAGCTGAGAACTTCAGCTGCTCAAGGCTTTCAGCGTCAGGTGGTTTCTGCATTTCTCTTGCTATTTCATTCTTATTGAAAAGATTATGTCTTTTAGGGGGAATAAGAAAACAATATGGTTTCATTTCTCAATCTTTCTGACTTGCTCCTACGGAACCAAGGTTGTAAAGATTGAGAAAAATCAGTCATTCACAACCACTGTTGTCTTGTGTGATAGTCTTGTTTTGGGTTTTTGTTAGGTCACTTGGATTTAGAGAAACGAAAGAACTTTTGAAGATTATAGAGGGGAAGATTTTCCTCTCTTTTGGGACAGAGTTAGATTTCTGGCCAACTTTTGGGTTTCTATAATTTTAGAATTTACAGATGCATTCCCTTTTCTCCATTTGTGCTAATCTGGAAGTGGCAACTCTTTTCTTTAGGAATTGTTGTTTGGGTACCTTTTTGTAATTAGATGTCAAGCTTTTAGTACATCTTTTTGTACCTTGATTCTTAGGTAGGTTGAAATTCCTTGGAACACATAGAGAGGTTATATAATGGGGCTTTTTTCCTGTAAATTGCGGATGTTCCTCTTTCTTTTTCTTCAAAGACTTGGGCATATTTTTCTTGCCAAATCACCCAAAGGATACCTAACACAATACAGCATGAACTTTCTTGGCTTTCTCTCCTTTACCAAAAGCAGAAACATTTGCTTTATGATATCATTACATTTTTCTTAAACCCGTCTTATTTTAGCTATCCTGCATAGATGACCCCATAAATTACTGCCAAAAAGTAGTGAAGTAAATGATGAGTGGTCTCTGAGATATCTTTGTATGGCACATATTAAGAGGCAAATAAGTTAATGATAATCAACTTTCTTTGTACAATGTCAGTTGTATATACTGTACTGTGAGCAGTGCTCTCAGCAAAGATTGAATTTATGTTGGAAAATTAGCTTTCCATGCTCAACTGAATTGCTTGAATGCCGCACAGACCTGGCAAACGGGCGGGCTGGGCCGGTACGGGTCGGGTAGCTACTAGTAACGGGTAAAACAGGTACGGGTCCACGGGTCAATTTTTTTCACGGTTAGGAAAATGCATGACCCATACCAACCCGTCGACCTGCGAGTCACCTGTTTCTCACATATATTTTCACATTTTATTTTATCTTTTTTCAAATAAAAGTAACCCATCTCCATCACCCTCTATACACGAGACCTTCCATCTTTTCTTTCCTCTTCCCAATAAATTTCCATCTTCTCTTTCCTCATCCCAAATAACATTTCATCTTCTCTTTCCTCTTCCTAATTCAAATTTCCATCTCCTCTTTCTTNAATCAATTTTCGTACCTATCATACATCTCCAAGTTCCAAAATCCTTCAAAAGGCCTCTCTTCCTCGCACCTCGTCCTCTTTAATCCACCGAAAAATGGAGATAACAACACATAACCTCGAACCCTAACCGGCGCGAGCTCAGCCGCGCCACCACCGCCGAACCTCACCGCCAAATGGTGCGCCAGGTTGCCACAAGACAAGTAACCCAATACAAAAACCCTATCGAAGTCAACCCCATCTAACCACGTCCCCATATTTCCATCATCACCACCATGCATGGCTTTATCTTGAAGCCATTTCAAAGCAGAAGTCGCATCGTCCAACGCCGCAGGAAGCCTATCTTCCGGAGCCAGACGGTGGTCCGGCTCGATGACGAGGGCTTGAAGCTCGTTGGCGAGGCGGACGCAGATACTCTGGTGGTGGGGATACGTGAGAGAGCCGAAGCAAAAGCCGCCGCCATGGAGGTGGTAAAGAATCGGGCGTTTTTTTGTCGATGAAGGATTTGATTTGGGTTTGTAAAGACGAAGATGGAGATTGTGTTGTTCACTGAAGAGGAAGTCCTTGTGAATGATTTGTTCATGGTCGAGTAGAGGAGTTTTGAATTCAATTTCTTTGGTGCGTGAAATGGAGCCATCGCTGTAAAGAATGAGATGGCCAAAGCAATCTTCAACTACATGACGATCATCCGAACCCATGTTCGCTCTGTTTGTGAAAACTGTGGGCTAAAATGGAGAAGATGACTGGACTTATATAGAGAGAAGAAGAAAGAGTCGCTCGATTTTAAACATGCATTTCATGAAAATGTGTTTTACGTTAAATATTATAGTCAAAAAAGTAATACTCTGTGTAATCATGTGAGGTGATAAAAAATAAATAGAATAATTATTTCTGGATAGTTGAGTATTTTGATAGGAATTTTTGGATATATTCCTCAAAAATCTTATGTTTAAGTCTTTCCTTCATTGCTAATAAGAATACTATAAAGTTTTTACCTAATCAATAATTTCAAAGGTCTAAAAAATTAGTTAAAGGCGAGTATAAACTAAATTAAGCATCCTTTTATCTTTAAAAACAAAGATGAATAGAAGATTTTGAATTTTTATATTTATTCTTTCAACTATTTTCGTCACGTCACTTTTTATAAAAATCTTTTTAAAAGTCTTTATATGTCTGACATTATTGGCAGGCAAGATACATAAGAAAATTCTTGGTGGATTCATGAGGTTAGGAATCCACCTGTTACCACTTAATGATTTATTAATTTTAATATTGGATTAGAATTAATAGTTGATATTGATTGAAGTAATTATAAATTAAGACGCCGCCACCACAGTGTTTTCTTTCTATTGGAAAAGTTAAACAAAAATATATTGACATTCCTAATTGTTACTTGAAGTAGTAAATCTATTATTTCTCTAATATCTTACTTGAAATAATTTTAAATATGGAAAGAACTTTGGAAAAATGACCCATCGCTATTTTCTCACGAGAGTAATACTATATCAATAACATTTTCTCACAAACTTTCTCTCATAATTCTAACATGACAGTTCACAATTAATTAATAAAACCCAATACGAAACCCATGTGAGATCCGTTATGAATTAACCAATTACGAACGATCATATTAGGGTTGTGAGAAAAAGTTTTTTGGAGAGAATTGCTATTGTAATATTATTCTTTCTCTCGTTCCTAGCTAATTACTAGCTGGATGCATTTTTTATTTTTGTATAAGTTTAAATTACTTTTGTATTCTCATTCTCCAATTTGAATTAAACAAGTGATGGGACATGGGGACTAAACAAAAGAAAGAGAATATTGAACATTTGAACTTGATTCGTTCTCAATAGCCATAAGATGATCTTCTTAGGGTGATACTTTTATTGATGGATGCTCTTATTGCACTCGTATATATGCCACCAGTCCGATCCTCTGTAGGAACTATCCGTAATAATGAATTTGCAAAATATATTTGTTTTTCATAAAGAGATTCGTTATTCCTGATCCTGTTTCACTTTAATTGTTGTTTGAACAAGTAAAAGTTATGTCTTGGTTCGAACTTAATTATTATTTGAACAAGTAAAAGTTATATCTTGGTGAGTGGAGATATCATTTATCTTTTGCAATAAATAGGCTTGGGTAGAGCTTATTCATCCCACTTGAACAATTTGAAATTGATAGTTGATAAATAGGTTTGGGTAAAACTAATTCCTTCCCACCATAGCAACCTACCAATACAAATACAACTTCGATAACAATCTACAAATTGGCGATGTGGGACAAATACAACTTCGAGAACAAATTACTAAATTGGCGATGTAGGATGAATACAACTTTGATAACAACCTTCCAAAATTGGCGATGTGCGACAAATACAACTTCGATAACCATAACAACCTACCAATACAAATACAATTTCATTAACAACCTACCAAATTGATGAAGTGAGACAAACACAACTTCAATAACAAAAACGTAGACAATGTGGGACTAGGGTCCAAAACCATCATCGCCCTTCAAACAACAAACTCATCATCAATGGTATAGGGTAGAACTCTTTTTCAAAAGCTAATTCAAAAGAGAAGGAAACCCAACCACATATCTCCACTATAACAATCTACCAAATTGACGATGTAGGACAAATACAACTTCTAACAATAGCAAAAATGTTGCAAAATTAGAAATATTCGAAGCTTAAAAAACAAAACTTTTAGGGAGCGTTTGGTTAGGGGTTACATAGGATTGCTAAGGTTATGAGATCTTATATTACTTGATTACCACGTTTGGTTGTCAAGTAATATAAGATTCTAGTAATCTTCTAATACCAATAGTAGTTACAGTTGGTAATATTGGAGGTAATATGATTACCTCTATTTTCTTAGGTATTGTAAGATTAATTGGTCATCATATTTTTGTTATAATTTTATTCTTTATTAATAAAAATTTTTAACAATGACGCCCTTGTTTTAAAATCAATTTACATGAATCTAACTTTCATAATTCTACCCCAATTAATTAACTTTTTAGACAAAATTACCCTTAAATTCAAAACAAAGTACAGCCCACCCAAGCCACCACCCCTACCCACTTGCCGCTGTCGACAACCACCGCCGGCCATCGGCAGCTAGCATCTGTGGCCATTAACAACCAACAACCAGATCAATGGATCTATTGATCTGGCCATTTTTAGGCCAGATCTCTGGCCAATAATGGCCATATCGACACACAGAGGCCAATTCAGGCTTTCCGTGCACCATTTGGTTGCCAGCAGCCTACAATGGTTGCTGGTGGCCAGCAATGGCTGAGTTGGTGGGGGTGCACTGTTGATTTTCCAAACTTTTATTATGAAGTTGTTTTTGCTAAGTTTTTAAATGTAGGGGAGTTATAAATAATCTAAATAATAATATTATATAATGATATTTAATTAAAGGAAAATTAAGTAATTTAAATAATATACTTACCAATCTATTCTTTCCAACCAAACATATTAATATAATATATTCACCAATTTATTCAAACCAATCAAACATATTTCCCTAAACATTCCCAGTAACTTTAAGGTAATCTTTTTTTTCTGTTAATATAACATTCTCGGTAATACAACATTCTCTGAACCAAACGCACTCTTATCGTAAAGCAATATTAAATTTATTTTTATTCTCTTTACTTTTTTTACTTTTGTGATGGTCCATTATTATTTTATATCGAACTTTTGTTGGATGGCATATAAAGCAATATTTCAGTCTTTTTCTTTATGATCTCACTATATTAAAATTAAAAAATAGCATCATCAAATCTATCAAATCAAACCTGCTACATTCGATATTCATTTGCTAAAAAAAAAAAACCATCAATTAAATAAGATACTGTTATTCAAATTTACAATGAAAAATATCACATTGTAGAAGTAACTTTTTCAAGCCCTTTTAAGTAATTTAACACATGCATCTTGCTTTATAAAAAGTCTGCAAGATCAACAGTGGTCTTCCATCACTCCATGTTTTCCATCTCGACGTCGGGTTCATCCTTGGGCCAAGTAGAGTACAAATCATATGGGCCTAAAGACACTGCTTTTATGATCTTCTGCTAGCTGTATTGTCTATTAACAGGAGGTTTTGGAAGACTTTTTCCCTTAGTGAGAGCCATACGATTCTTGTGATTGCTCTCATCTTCACCATGATCATCACCAAATCTACGCATCTCAATGGTTCCTTTCACCAGTTGGGCCGAGCCTTATTCTTCCATCTTCTCCGTTGATTTTATTGACTTTGATTTGTTTTAGTAAATTGAGTAGATTATCAACTGGGCCGAGCCCAACACAAAGCCCATGCCCTATCGCATCTGGCACCTGAAATTGTTTGTTCATGTAAAAAAAACTCCTCAATATTTCAAGTTTTTAATTATAATTAAATTTACTCAGTTTATAAAACAAAAATATTAAAAAGGAAAAATACTACACTTAGATTTTGCATACCGATTCCCCATTCTGGCTGATGTAGAGAGCGACATGGTCGGAATAAAAACTTCTCATGTCGCACTCCACATCAATTGGGATGGACAAGCGATATGCAAAATCGAAAACTGTAGTATCATCCTATTGAAAATAACTATAAAAATTTTTGATCAAAGTGTTTTGTAATTTCCAAGATTGAAAGGGGTAATAAATACTTTAGAAATTATAATATTTTGGGAAACAAGCAAATAATAGGTTCATTCAAAAAACTATTATAGGGGAAATTTTGACATTTCGCTTTTTGATAAACCAAAAAAAATAAATTTTAACTCATCAAACGATACCGTTTCATGAAATTTAGAATGTAAAAAAAGAAACTGAGAGAACTTACTCCAATATTAATATCTCTAACCATTAGATCAATTTAATGCATCGAAAATGAGTTTTCTTCTTAACCGCATAAGAGAAGATAACGTATTCAATATTACCATTATACCCACCCAAACTCCTATATAAACCTACCACCATCACCCTTTGCTTCATTAACTCAAAGCAAATATCAAAGTCATCTCACCCGTTACTGAATGTATTATCAATAAACATTGATTTAACCTTTTCTCACAATCCTGACGTGATAACTTGTAATTGATCTGATAAGACCCATTGTTGAATAGACAAAACCAATTATAAATTGATCAATTGCAAACTATTACATTGAGATTATTTAATAATGTGTAATACAATTATATATGTAATTTTTGAGGAACTTTTAACATTTTCCAAATTTAGTTTGAGTTGCCCATATATATTCTTTTAACCACTCCTTTGTTGTTAAAGAAAGGTGAAATTTTTTAATAAAATATGAGTGGAGTAACCAGTCATGTATGATCGAAGGAAAAATAATTTGTACTACATTTCCTGATATGTAATTTTCATCTTTTAACTGACAAAATTACTGCTTACTCATGCTTCTCCTTCTCCACTCCAGTAATATACATACTCATATAGCCCAAAATTCCTATTGACAATGTGACAAGTCCATATTGGGCTAAGCTCTGGACCGTAGGTAAATATCAGATTGTGCAACAACCAGAATGGATTGGGCAGGCTCAGAGTATTAGAATTTAGACATAAAGAAACACTTATACTGGATTTTTGAGAAACTTTTAACATTTTCCAAATTGATTTTTCAGTTGTCCATATATATTCCTATATCATTGAATTTGAAAACCACATAAACAGACAAAATAAAACACATACTATAACAAAATTTTAGGAAATTTTCTACTCTAACTGGTTCTTCCGGGTTCGAGTCACTGACACATAATACTTCCATATTATTCTAATGACTTTTCACACATTAGGGTTGGAACCGGAGGCTTGGTGGTTATCCTCGGTATTATTTACCAGCTCTTTCATAACAATTATGGCCTGGTCTCTGACTTTTGTGTGACGGTGTAGTGAGAGCTGGCCAACAATCACACCTAACTGTAACATCAAAACCAAAACATAAATGAAGTAAGAATAGTAGTGAAAATAGGAATTTAGCTAATGAGATATGCAGAGCAGTACCTCAAATTTCCAACAATCTTGCATAGAAGGGAAGCACTTGCCATTCAGACGCTTTAGATTACTCACAAACAAGTTTCGTTCCTGGGCAGCCTCAGAGGTAGTTTGCAATCCTTCTCTTCCCAAGTTCTGAAAGGCCTTGACAATCTCTTCTATCTCTTCTGGAGTAAGCTGATCTCCCATTTTCAAGATTCTGAATATCACTCTTGTGAATTCAGAAATCTCATAATAATGTATAATCGAGCAGCAAGATAGAAAAATGAAATAATACTAAAAATCTTGTCAGTGAATTGCAAAGCACTAATCTAATACTACAAACATATTTGCTAAACTCTCTCATCTTTCAGTAAAAAAAGCTGCCTGGATATGAAAGATGAAAGATGATCACTCAGATGCCATCGAACAAAAATAATGTAGGACCTTTACCACATAAATCACACAGATCCGAGATCAGATTAAAACAGAAGACATTCAGTTTGCATTTGAGGAAAGCTTCATAACAATCGATGACTTACCAGAAAAATGACGGACGAACAAATAAGATCGGCGGCGCAAAGGAAAACGGCGAATTAGGGTTGCGATTTTGACTGTTTGGTGTGAGGTCCCACGGGGAAAATAGGTTTATATAAGAAGACCAATTTTGTAAATATTTAATCTTTCACGGGCAATATGGTCAGTTAAATGATCCAGGGCAATTTTGTAATTTTAAAAATATCAAGGATAAGATCGAATTTGAAATCCCCATTTTTAATTTTTAAGAATTACATGTTATACATATATATTAACACCACAAATTGTTTAAAATCAAGAATCCCAAATTGTTAATCTTCACGTATATATTAATATAATAATGCAAATGTAAAGTCATTTCAACCCATTTGTATATGCTCTTGTTACCTGAATTTGTTATGCTATTTTGTTATGGAAGTTTATCTGGGCAGTTGAGGAAGTAAATTCTGAACTATTTTGTTGGTTTGGTGGGAAAAAAGAAGTAATGAAAGAGGGTTTATCTTTATTAGAGTGATGTCTGATGCCTTGTTATTATTCGACTTTGATTTCGTGTAATTGTATAAGGTGTTTGATTATTTCCGTCAAAGAAACTTGTTTATAGTTTGGTTTTATATTTTTATCTGGGTATATTTGCAACTATGAGTTTTCGTGCATTGATGTGTTTTTTGATTCATTTTTGCAAGATTTTTTGTTGGAACTTGGAAGTAGTAGATTACTAGTACTTTTATTAGTAACTTTTTCTTTTCTTTTTAGTTTTTAATCTGTTTGAGTAGACAAAAACAACCCCGTACTTGTGTAAACCAACACCCGTTAATAGGGGTGTTCAAAAGAACCGGTTGGAACCAGAACTGATAGGTACCCTGGGTTTGGTTCTGGTTCCTACCCAGAACCAGTCATCAATAGGTAGGTTCCGGTTCCAAATTTTTGGAACCGTTACTGTACAGTTCCGGTTCTAGTTCCTATAATTAGGAACCAGAACCAGGAACCAGGAACCGAGACTAATATAAAATAAAATTAAAGATTAAGGGGGTTAATAAATTTTTTTGTAGAAAAAGTAATGTGAATACATTTATATTTATATTTCATAACATTTAAAGTAAGTTTGTTTGACTTTTGAGATTCCACCTTTACAAAGCAATGGAGTTTGTAATTTTGAATTTGTAATTTTATTTTTGTTAACAAGTGCCAAGTGGGGGAGTATTTATAATTTTTTAAGGGTTTTTTTGCCATTTTAAAAACTTTTGGAGGGTCATAAAATTTTACAGGGTACCCAGAACCAGAACCGGAACTGGAACCGTTGTTACAGGTTCTGGTTCTGGGTTTAACCGTCGGTTTCGGTTCTAGTTTCAAATTTCAAGGAACCGTCTGTTCCAGTTTTGGTTCCTTCAACAAGTACAGGGTACCCGGAATCGAACATCCCTACCCGTTAATATTAGATAAGCTGTAGGTTATGGAAGAGAGAAGGGTGTTTCTGTATTTTGAAAATTGCGTATCTTCCAAGATATTCTATGCTATACTAAAATAATTATCTTTTCCTCCTTGGTGCACCATCCAAGTCTGCTCTCTCCTTAACGTTAGATCAATTTAATAAGCTTAAAAAACAAAACTTTTACCGTATTTTTATTCTTTTTACTTTTGTGATGGTCCATTATTATTTTATATGGAACTTTTGTTGGATGGCATATAAAGCAATATTTCAGTCTTTTTTGTTCATGATCTCGCTATATTAATATTAAATAATCAAATGAAAAAATAGCATCATTAAATCTAGAGTAAACGACATTTTCCCACCCAAGGTTTGGCAAAATCTTAGTGGTACCCCTAATTTTATTTATTCCAAATTCCCACCCTTGAAATTACGGAAAATTAGCAGATGGCTGCCTCTAAGAGTGCTTCAACGCACGTTAGTAGATGTCGTCCCTGACATTTTCATCTTTTTATGGCAATTCTTCCACCCAAAATCACCCTTGTCACCACTATTCAAGCCCTTATCCTCCCCTCTACAAAGTTTTACCCTTTACAACCCCTCATCACTCGCCGATTGTCGACCACGATAGCCATGTCATGCTACTGTTTTTGTCGATTTTCGATCGTTTTGAGCAGCAACAACCCCAACCACCACCACCGTTTGACTTTGCGCATCCTTCCCTACAAAGCTGCTAACCTTCCTAGCCACGACAACTTACTGTTGTCGTACACCACTTCACCAAAAAATGTGATGCACACGAACCTCTCGGCCAACGAACGGCGACTGAGCAGTTGGTGGGGACATAAAAGTTTTGTAGAGTTGGAGACAGTGGTTGCAATGGTGGTTTTCAATTGGATTTTTGCAGCCAGAATCAACCGGAACTCGACGAAAAAAAGTGAAACCCTAAACCTAATGGCATTGGCGATCGGAGGGGTCAATGAGTCGAGAACTAGAGGGGTTTTGGACGACAGACTATGGGGAAGTTGATGGAGGTGACCAGGGGGTTCAACGCCATCAAAAATAGCCCAAATCAGGCAAAAACCGAGAGGATGCACAGTCGTCGAGAGTGTCATTCAATAATTTGAAAATAAAATGGCTAATTTTATAATTCTACTAATTTAAGAGTTAAAAAGAAATTTATTAATTTATTTGTTAACGGCATTATGATAATCAAATATTTTTTAATCTAAAAATTACTAACAGTGTTACTTTAAGTTGAGAATTTGAAATAAATACAACTAGATACTGATTTAGGATTTTGCCAAATGAATATGTCGTTTACTCTTAAATCTATCTAATCAAACCTGCTATATTTGACATTCATTTATTTAAAAATAAAAAAATATTAAAAAAAAAAAAGCAAGCCTTCAGTTACATAAGATACTCTTATTCAAATTTACAAAGAAAAATCACACATTGTAGAAGTAGCATTTTCAAAGTCCTTTTAAGTAATTTACATGCATCTTGCTCTATAAAAAGTCTGCAAGATCAACGGTGGTCCTCGGTGTTTCCCATCTCGACGTCGGGTTCATCCTGGGGCCAAGTAGAGTATAAATCATATGGGCCTAAAGACAGTGTCTTTATGATCTTCTGCAGGCTGTATTGTCTATTAACATGAGGTTTTGGAAGACTTTTTCCCTTAGTGAAAGCCGCCCGATTATTGTGATTGGCCTCATCCCCCACATGATGATCATCACCAAATCCACGCATCTCAATGGTTCCTTTCACCAGTCGGGCCGACCCTTCTTCTTCCATCTTCTCCGTTGATTTTGTTGACTTTGACTTGTTTTTGTAAATTGAGTAGATTATCAACTGGGCCGAGCCCAACACAACGCCTATGGCATTGGGCACCTGAAATTGTTTGTGCATGTCAAAAATTTCCTTAATATTTCAAGTATAATTTCACTGAGTTTGCAAAATTAAAATATCGAAAATAACTATAAAATTTTTCGATTAGGGTGCTTTTGCAATTTTCAAGACTAAAAGGGGGGGTACAGGTAGCAATAGATTCATTAAAAGCTATTATAGGGGTAATTTTGACATTTCACCGTTTAAATGAATCAAAAGAAAATGTTTTCAAATTATTGGGTAATTAATTTTGACATTTTACAATTCAAAACGACGCCGTTTCATAAATATAGAGACTGTGAAAAAGGAAATTGAGTGAACTTACTCCAATATAAATGTCTCTAACAAGAACTGAATAAACTGACCAAACACCAGCATTGAGAAACAGGAAAAACGAGAGCAAAAATGGCATGTATTCAACACTCTTGGTCTTTATAACTGTTCTCTGCAGTAGTCAGATATCCAATTCAACCAATTAATTAATCGAGCAATTAAAACTTCAATTCAATTGATTATTGAAGGTGAAGAAAGGAAACTTACCATTACTGATAGAGGTGAAGCATACATGCCAATGGTTAATGCAGAACACAAAATTCCCACAAAGGTTAGCCTCAGATTTCCATGGACAAATACAAGAGTTACTGCAATCACTGCCCCAAGAAACCCAACGTCTAATATCGCCACCAATTTCGCCGTCTTAATCTAAATAACATCGATAAATCACAAGAATGAATCAATTGCATATGCATAAAAAAAAACCTCACTAATCATGATCCATTTTTTAAAACCCAGACCGGACCATTCGGTCCGATCAATCCACCGAAACCCTAAACCTGTTTTAGTTATTGGACCGAATTGACCAACGATTGAATCAACGAAACAGTGTCAGACTGCGGTTCAACTATGGGGTTAGATAAAGAACACCCGTTCCTATTAATTATTATTATTAAAATTTTAAAATTTTATTATATCATGCTGATATCAACATGATATCATCGGTCCGACTGGTCAGTCAAATCAGACGGACTGTTCGACTTGAGGACCGACCTTTTGATTTGATCAAGGCCTGGTCCGAGTATAAAAACATTGATCATGACAACCATTAGATAAAAGACAATCAATATGCTCTTAAATAACGATAATTTATTAAATAAATATATACAAATTACATGATAAGTCTATTCTATTTAAGATGCAGCACTTAAAATTAAGTGCTTATATATATATATATACGTAAGATGCAGCACTTAAAATTAAGTGCTTATATAGAACTTAAAACTTGTACTAGTGATCTTTCTCCATCATAAAAATGTGTGGTCGATGTTTCAAGAAAACAAAGTAGATAAAACAAAAATTAGTATCAAAATCACCTTCTTATCTTTGGGAGCAAAGATAAGGAAAAGAATGACATAGATGAATTGTAACACGGCTCCTGCTCCATTGACAGTCACAACAAGCAAACCATCTGGCTTCATAAGTCCATAGAAAGTCCACAAACTTGTGCATAGTAGAGTAGTTATGTATGGGTCTCCCCTGTAGTTCTCTGTAGATTTCTTCTTCACCACTCTCAAAAAGGTTTGGCTAAGAGCCAAAACGAAACAATCCCATTATTATTACTGTATTTGACTGAACGTATAAGATTTAACACCATGTAAATAAGATACTACACAAGAACGTTTCCAACCGACAAGATGAAAGTCTACAGATTTATAGCTTAAATCAGTCCAAAGGTTTAACTAAAATATAAAGAGAAAGTTAGACAAACAAGAAAAGATTAGGTTTTTAGTCTGTTAGACTTGTGTTTTTGTTCTTATCGGCCTGACCTCTCCCTACATTCTTTCTTTCTTTCAAATGATACTACTTATTTACTTTAAAACAAAAAAAAAAAGTATAAAGAGAAAGCTCACTGACATGGGAGAAGCAAAAACCAGTATAGAAATGATATTGCCTGCCAATAAATTAAGATAAAAGACATCAACAAACAAATTACTAAGAACCCAATTGGCAAAAGCTACAAAAAATAGCTTGAAGAAAAAGCACTTATGAGAACTAACCAATAATGCCAATGAAGAAGCTCAAGCTAGCCATGGAGCAGGAGAAGAGAAGAGAAGAGGAGAGAAGGGAAGAAGAAAAGAAAGAGAATATAATGATGCGGTAAGAGAGAGACAGTGCATGTGATAGAGATACTGATAATAAAACAAGGACGTGATTGATATGAGTTATGTGGTGTTTGATGGATATATATTAATTCTTCTGTGCACATCAGTGGCTAGAGGCTTGCCACGTTTACGTTACGTAAATTTGTATCTATTCATATCATGATGGCATGTGGGTGGACCGACCATAGACCACTGCTTTTTCGGTTTTGAAAAGCACTTTTGGGATTCAGTCTTGTCATTGTTCGTTGAATTAGAATCAAAGGTACCTAAATTTTGCTGGTAATAAACTAATAATATTTCTTCCTCAAAATATCATCCTAACCTAATTAAGAGAACTAACACAACTTTGCTTCCAGTTTTTTCCATTTTCGTTCACATATCCCCAACATCGATCGGGTTTATCAGTTAACAGATACAGATTGTTGTGCCTACAAAATCTGTCGGCACCAATCAATCAGAGTTCAAAAAAATTTTGTATCATCCAAGAGCTATCACATCACCCCAAGATAGAAGAGATACGGTTGTCACCAACCCAGTAGATTCAAATTTTATCTATGAGTGGATGAAAACCGCACACTTGTTCCAACTTTATCAAAATAAAGTTGATAAGGATTAAAGAGTAATCTCCACACGTCATGACAACTTATAAAAACATTTATTATATTGACCTAAAAGGTATATAAATGAGCAACTCTCTTCACGAAAAAGGGGGTTGGGCATATGAGAGCTGGACATAGATTTGAGCTTCATTCTTTCTCTCTGTAAACAAAGTATTTCTTCATCTTTGTATGTCTTACGGGCAATATCATAGAAATACTCAGAGAACAATAAAATAACAGTGGATGTAGGATTTGCTTTAAGCATCCGAACTATTATAAAAACCTCTCTTGTCAGTCTATTATTTATGTTTCTGCAACATATATAATCTCAGCTCCATATTCAAATCTCATGGATCCATCACATGTAATTTCTAAGATTTTCTTAGCACTTTGCACGTGCGAGTCGTTGGTGTTCAAAATCGAGCATCAACAATGATAAATGCATGTATTTAGAAACAGTATAAACTTGACTGTTTCTCCTCCCATCTTGTTGTGCGTGATTTTTCTATTAAATTCAGAGAAGTCAGAAGCCCACGAGGATGTAGTTCGACCAAGAATCAGTTTGGCTAAACACTTATCCGACCCAGTATAAGCTCATCGAGATATAACTCGACCCAACATCAGCTATTCGCGACCAACTCTAGCAATTGTTCGACAAATCACAGATAAGCTCAAATCTTAGATATTTCGAAAGAGATCAGGTCAATAGCAATTATAGGGCGATCTTAACTCACAATCATGAGAATATCGGAGTTACAATTTGAATTTGATTGCACTCCCGATAATTTCTCTCTTTCCTTTATTACAAACTTGTATAAATATGTCTTCTGACTATGAGAAAAGGGTTAGCAATTTTTATTTTACAATCGATATATATTGTAAGCTCTCACAACAATAAAAGAACAATAGACGTAGGTTCATGTTTTAACTTGTCGAACCACTTTAAAAATATTTTGTATTTTCATATCATAACGCATTCATATTCATTATTTTGCTGATTTTAATTAGTTACATACACATCGATTTCGATTCCATCAAGGTCAACCGAATCACTCATGTTTGTGCGAAATTTGGTATCAACACATCTTATATAAATATCATACCAGAGAGTAAAACTATACCGGGTTCTGTAGATCATCAAGCAGTCTTATCAGGGCAGATGATACATAACTATCAGTACTAATCAAAGGTGATATTATCTTTATCAGCCAACAAAGTTGAATATATTGATTATATCATTGTTGGCTCAATCGTATACATTGATGCCACGAGGCATTTTGGGTGTTTTCATGGTAGCCTTTTGACCTAGAGTATAGTTAATTATGAAGAATGAACATCAGTAGGGTTTTAATTGTATCCTGTTGATCTAAAATCAAGAGATTCTTCATATAAGACCAAACAAGAATAGGTGGCTGTGTTGAACTTTATTAATCCTTTTATCGTCTATGAGTAAAACTGCAAGTGGATTAGTTATAAGTTATGACTAATGATTTAGTAATATATGTATCTTATATTAGACTCTTTCTATGACCCAAACTCTTTATTATAAAGAGTCTATCTATAAAAACCAAAGTCCAATAGGTTTTTTATCTTTAAAATATAAATTAGAGAGTGAGTTTGACTCTCCACATTTAGAGAGTCAAATTTCACTCTCTATCCTAATTTTAATTAATAAACTACAAGTTCCTATGTATTTTATTTATTAATTCTCTCTCCCGTTAAGTCTCTTTCTTAAAAATAAAGGGCATCTTTACTAAATTTAAAGAGTCTATTGGATTTGAATAAAAATTATGTTCTTTATATTTAAAAATTAATGAAGATGCTCTTTATTTATATGAGAGATATTCTTCAAAATAAAGAGTACCATTAGAGATGCTCTTAGTATGCCAACACTCATCATGTCCAAACTTGGGTAGAACTCATCTCCAAAAGTTAGCTCAAAATAGGAGGGAGTCCAACATATATATATACCAAATTGACGATATGTGACAAATTCAATTTCTAATACTATATAACCTTGAAAAGAAAGTATAACTTTCTAAATGGATTCTAAACAAGTTATTTACTGCAAGAAACCCTAATAGAACATGCATCATTTGGCTATAAATATTCAAGATTCTTATGAATAAAGAAGAATGATACTTCCTTTAATACAAAGACAAGCTATATACTTCACTTCTTATTAAAAAAAAAAATATATCTTCAAAAATTCTTTTATTTCTTTCCATCAAAAAGCCGAAAAATTTTCATGACAACGTAATCCCTTGCTAATATATATATTAACAAAAATGGAGTTGAATAGATAGATATTATGTAATATTAAATAAATTGTGGATTTATTAAATATGTCCCATACGTTTAAAGTAGAGAAATTCCCCTATATAAATATTTATTAATTTTAAGAGTTAACGATTTTTTCCCACCAAAATAATGGTTTAATGACACTTTTCCACCCACAGACTTTTAAAATAAAACTTTATCATCCAAATTTATATTTCGGCGGCGAATAGAGAACAAACTCGATCTAGACTATTGAGGCTTTTGAAGAGGGGAGACCGATGAATCTTTTGATGATGGAGGATTGATCAGAATTTGACTTGAGAGGGGTAGCTGCGCAAACCCTAATCGCTCAATTGCTGGCGATTGGCGGGGTCGGCTAGAATAAGGTTTGAGAGGTTTTGGTGATTAATAATCAGGGAAGAGAATGGTGATGGTGTGGGGTCGTAATGATGTCGAAATAAAAAACGGAATATAAATTTGGGTAGTAAAGTGATATTTTAAAGTCTGTAGGTGGAAAAGTGTCATGAAACCATTATTTGAGTGGAAAAAAGTCGATAACTCTAAGTTTAATTCCCAAAATATCAAGGTTTTATTTAAAATACTGATTTAACCATAAAATCATGTAACTTAATATAATTGCTCTTAATGAAAAAAAAAAGTTAAAAAGGTTATCCGACCTTTTTTTTTTATGTAACTGTTTACTCGGATAAGTTAAAAGCCTACAAGGATATAGTTTGACCCAGAATCAGTTCGACTAAACACTTATCCGACCCAACATAAGCTCATCAAGATATAACTCGACCCAGCATCAGCTAGTCGCAACCAACTCTGGCAATTGTTCGACAAATCATAGATAAGCTCAAATCTCAGATATTTCGAAAGAGATCAGGTCAACAACAATTATAGGGCAGTCTTAGCACACAATCACAAGAATATCGGAGTTACAATTTGAATTTGATTGCAATCCCGATAATTCCTCTCTTTCCTTTATTACAAACTTGTATAAATACGCCTTCTGACTATAAGAAAAGGGTTAGTAATTTTTATTTTACGATTGATATACATTGTAAGCTCTCACAACAATAAAAGAAAAATAGACGTAAGCTCAAGTTTGAACTTCCGAACCACTTTAAAAACTCATTTGTGTCTTTCGCATTATAATGCATTCATATTCATTACTTTGCTGATTTTAATTAGTTTCACACACATCGATTTTGATTCCACCAAGGTTAATTGAATCACTCAGGTTTGTGCGAATTTTTGTATCAACACATCTTGTACAAATATCATACCAGAGAGTAAAACTATACCGAGTTCAGTAGATCATCAAGCATTCTTTTCAAGGCAGATGATACATAACTATCAGTACTAATCAAAGGTGATATTATCTTTATCAGCCAACGAAGTTGAATATATTGATTATATCATTGTTGGCTCAATCCTATATATTGATGCCACGCGGCATTTTGGGTGTTTTCATGGTAGCTTTTTGACCTAGAGTTGAATTAAAATGGATAGTTAATTATGAAGAATGAACATCACTAGGGTTTTGCTTGTATCCCGTTGATCTAAAATCAAGAGATTCTTCATATAAGACCAAACAAGATTAGATGGTTGTGTTGAACTTATTAATCCTTTTATTGTCTATGAGTAAAACTGCAAGTGGATTAGTTATAAGTTATGACTAATGATTTAATAATATATGTATTAGAGCATCTCCAAATAAGTCTTTATATAATCCAAACTCTTTATTATAAAGAGTCTATCCATAAAAACAAAAATCCAACAGGTTCTTTATCTTTAAAATATAAATTAGAGAGTGAGTTTGACTCTCCACATTTAGAGAGTCAAATTTCACTCTCTATCCTAATTTTAATTAATAAACTACAAGTTCCTATGTATTTTATTTATTAATTCTCTCTCCCATTAAGTCTCTTTTTTTAAAATAAAGGGCATCTTTACTAAATTTAAAGAGTCTATTGGATTTGAATAAAAATTATGTTCTTTATATTTAAAAATTAATGAAGATGCTCTTTATTTATATGAAAGATACTCTTCACAATAAAGAGTACCATTAGAGATGCTCTTAGTATGCCAACACTCATCATGTCCAAACTTGGGTAGAACTCATCTCCAAAAGTTGGCTCAAAATAGGAGGGAGT